CTGAACTCCCTCAAGAAACTAAAAAAAAGAGCAAAAATGTACCCAAAGCAAGCAGAAGGAGAAAAAAAAAATAAAGATAAGAAATCAATGGAATTGAAAACAGAAAAACTAAATAGAGAATATCAATGAAAGAAAAACCTTTTCTTTGAAATGATCAACACAATTGATAAACCTTAGCAAGACTGACAAAGAAAAAAAAAAGAAGATAAATAATGAGTATCAGGAATGAAACAGGGGCTATCACTCCGGATTCCACAGTCATCAAGAGGACAATAAAGGAATACTACAAACAACTCTATGTACATAAACATGACAACCTAAATGACAGGGACAGACTAATTACCTGAAGAGCACATTATCACAACTTACCCAGTATAAAACAGATAATCTGAATAGCCCTATAACTATTAAGGAAATAGAATTTGTAAGTTTTAAAAATCTCCAGGCCCACATGGTTTCTGGAGAATTCTGCCAAAGAAGAATTAACATCAATTTTTACACAATCTGTGCAAGAAAAGAGAAGAGCAGTGAACACTTCCCAATTTATTTCATAAGGCCAGAATTACCCTGATATCAAAACTAGGCAAAGACAGTACAAAACAGAAAACTTCAGTCCCATATCACTCATGAATATAAAAAGAAAAATGTGTGGCAAGGATGTGGAGCTACTGGAATTCTCTTATATTACTGCTGGGAGTGTCAACTGGTGCAATCATTTTGGAAAATGATTTGAGACAATCTACTAAAGTTGAACACGCACACACTCTACGGCCCAGCACTTATACTCCTGGGCACAGACCTAATAAAAATGTTCTCATATGCTCAACAAAAGACCTGTATGAGGATGCTAAAAGAGCACTAATCTAATAGCCCAAAATGTCCACATGCCCATCAGCAATGGCACGGGTAGGTAAATTACGGTATATACACGTAATGAAATGCAACACAGCAATGAAAATGAACAAACTTGGGCCGAGCCCGTGGTGCACTCGGGAGAGTGCGGCGCTGGGAGCGCAGCAGTGCTCCTGCCACGGGTTTGGATCCCACATAGGGATGACCAGTGCGCTCACAGCGCTCACTGGCTGAGGGCAGTGCAGCTGGTCTCAAAAAGGACAAAAAAAAAGAAAGAAAATGAACAAACTTCACGTACTCGCAACGTGGGTGAATCTCACAAACAATGCTGAATGAAAGATGCAAGAGTACATGCTGTATGATTCCACTGATTTAAAGCTCAAAAACAAGCAAAATTACTCTATGGTGTAGAATGGGAAACAGTAAAGTGGTTATTCTTCTAGACAGTGGTGACTAGAAAGGGACATGGGGGCACCTGGGAGGCTGATCATGTCTGCATCTTGATCTGGATGCTGGTTACAGTGGTGTATTTGTTTTATGAATATTCAACAAGTTGCATTCTTAGAGTACATGTGCTTTTCTCTACATATGCTATTTTCAATTATAAGTTGGTAATCATGAACTTTTATCATTTATAAAGTTTTTTTTTATCATTTTTATAAATAATGAAAAAGCAAAAAAAAAATGCCTATTGGATTTGGTGACATGAAGGTGATAGTGACGTAAAGTTCTGAGGAAGTGGCAGACTTGGGGACCTAACATTCATTCCAATTTTGCAAATGGAGATAGAGAAGCAGAGAGCAGTTCAGATGCTGGGCCAAGGTTGCAAAGCTTTTAAGTAGCAGAATGGGGATCTGAAACCCTGGAGCAGGGCTGCTGTGCTCTTAATCACTAAACTAGACTGTCTCGCTGTCTTTATGAGCACAGAGGCAATAGGAGAAAAGGAAACGCTAGACAGGAGTGTGCCAATGCACAGGAGTCTGAGGTTGCCTGTGGAAGGGCACATGGGCACAGCAGCTTGAGGCTCCTATGAATGTCTCTTTATTGTAGTGGGACCAGTGTGCACAGAGACAGTCAGTTGTAATGCAAGAAGAGGTTAAAGATCTTACTACACTATGTTTATTGAGGCAGAAAAGTATATAATGTTTTTGGAAGATTTTGTGTTATGGGACAAACTGATTATATCTGGAAAAATCATTTATGTTAGATGTTTAATCATCTCACAATGCCAGAGAAATGAGGTGTGTGTATGTGTGTCGCATGTGTGCACAGGCTACTCTCACGGAAAAATCATATTTTGGTTTTGGAGAGCAAAAGTACCATATCATTAGTGTTTTTTTTTAAAAGTATGGAATTATGGTTTTGTGATTACATCAGGGCATAATTTTAGATCAAAGCAGGACAACTTATTATAATTAGTGTTAAAAGTGATAACCTAAACTACTATATACAAAACCACTGTTTGGAGTCTTAATCAGGAGAAAGGAATTACTATATAAAAATAATTCATTCTATCAGTTCCTTTTTATAGCAAAAATAGAAAGGTGTACAGACATAGAGATTAAATGCAAGAATAAAGGATCTGCCCTGTGTATTCACAATATGATATTATTAATGGCTACTGATTGGAAGGCAGGAGCTAATAAAACAAAATGAGCAAACTAAAATTCCTCCTGCCTTAGAGAATGTGTATAGTACATCACTGATAGTAAGTTTTTTT